CCTAAACCCCGAAACCCTAAACCCGAAACCCTAAACCCTAAACCCTAAACCCTAAACCCTAAACCCTAAACCCTAAACCCTAAACCCTAAACCCTAAACCCTAAACCCTAAACCCTAAACCCTAAACCCTAAACCCTAAACCCTAAACCCTAAACCCTAAACCCTAAACCCCTAAACCCTAAACCCTAAACCCTAAACCCTGGGGGTACTAGCGCTCGTTCCGAGCGTTTTTCTTCCACCGGGTCACGTAGCTGCGCTTGTCTGGTCCTCTTGCCAAGCCAGCAAGGGCGTGGGAGGGTTGCGAGCATCATCGGTCATCGGCGCTCACGAATGAAGAGCGCCCGCATCGCACGTCACGTGCACACGTGCGGATCCTTCCGCGTTTTGGGGGTACTAGCGCTCGTTCCAAGCGTTTTTTCTGCCACCGGGTCACGTAGCTACGTCTCTCTGCTCTTGCCTAAGCCAGCAAGGGCGTGGGAGGGTTGCGAGCATCATCGGTCATTGGCGCTCGCGAATGAAAAGCGCCCGCTGCACTTCCTGCACATGTGCGGATCCTTCCGCGTTTTGGGGGTGGAGGCGCTCGTTCCAAGCGTTTTTCTTCCGCCGGGTCACGTGGCTGCGCTTGTCTGGTCCTCTTGCCAAGCCAGCAAGGGCGTGGGAGGGTTGCGAGCATCATCGGTTATCGGCGCTCGCGAATGAAGAGCGCTCGCTGCACTTCCTGCACATGTGCGGATCCTTCCACGTTTTGGGGGTACTAGCGCTCGTTCCGAGCGTTTTTTTCTTCCACCGGGTCACGTGGCTGCGCTTCTCTGGTCCTCTTGCCAAGCCAGCAAGGGCGTGGGAGGGTTGCGAGCATCATCGGTCATCGGCGCTCGCGAATGAAAAGCGCCCGCTGCACTTCCTGCACATGTGCGGATCCTTCCGCGTTTTGGGGGTGGAGGCGCTCGATCCTTGCGTTTTTCTTCCGCCGGGTCACGTGGCTGCGCTTGTCTTGTCCTCTTGCCAAGCTAGCAAGGGCGTGGGAGGGTTGCGAGCATCATCGATCATCGGCGCTCGCGAATGAAGAGCGCCCGTTGCACTTCGTGCACATGTGCGGATCCTTCCGCGTTTTGGGGGTACTAGCGCTCGTTCCGAGCATTTTTCTTCCACCGGGTCACGTGGTTGCGCTTGTCTGGTCCTCTTGCCAAGCCAGCAAGGGCGTGGGAGGGTTGCGAGCATCATCAGTCATCGGCGCTCGCGAATGAAGAGTGACCGCTGTACTTCTTGCACATGTGCGGATCCTACCGTGTTTTGGGGGTGGAGGCGCTCGTTCCAAGCGTTTTTCTTCTGCCAGGTCACGTGGCTGCGCTTGTCTTGTCCTCTTGCCAAGCCAGCAAGGGCGTGGGAGGGTTGCGAGCATCATCGATCATCGGCGCTCGCGAATGAAGAGCGCCCGCTGCACTTCGTGCACATGTGCGGATCCTTCCGCGTTTTGGGGGTACTAGCGCTCGTTCCGAGCATTTTTCTTCCAACGGGTCACGTGGCTGCTCTTGTCTGGTCCTCTTGCCAAGCCAGCAAGGGCGTGGGAGGGTTGCGAGCATCATCAGTCATCGGCGCTCGCGAATGAAGAGTGCCCGCTGCACTTCCTGCACATGTGCGGATCCTTCCACGTTTTGGGGGTACTAGCGCTCGTTCCCAGCGTTTTTCTTCTCTGCCGGGTCATGTGGCTGCGCTTGTCTGGTCCTCTTGCCAAGCCAGCAAGGGCGTGGGAGGGTTGCGAGCATCATTGGTCATCGGCGCTCGCAAATGAAGAGCGCTTGTTGCACTTCGTGCACATGTGCGGATCCTTCCGCGTTTTGGGGGTACTAGCGCTCGTTTCGAACGTTTGTCTTCCGCCGGGTCACATGGCTGTGCTTGTCTAGGCCTACTGCCAAGCCACAAGGGCGTGGGAGGGTTGCGAGCATCATCGGTTATCGGCCATCGCAAATGAAGAGCGCCCGCTGCACTTTCTGCACATGTGCGGATCCTTCCGCGTTTTGGGGCTAGAAGCGCTCGTTCCGAGCGTTTTTCTTCCGCCGAGTCACGTGGCTGCGCTTGTCTGGGCTTATTGCCAAGCTAGTAAGGGCGTGGGAGGGTGGAGCATCATCGGTCATCGGTGCTCGCGAATGAAGAGCGCCCGCTGCATTTCCTGCACATGTGCGGATCCTTCCGCGTTTTGGGGCTGGAAGCGCTCGTTCCGATGGTTTTGTTCCGCCGGGTCACGTGGCTGCACTTGTCTGGTCCTATTACCAAGCCAACAAGGGCGTGGGAGGGTGGCGAGCATCATCAGTTATCGGTGGTCGCAAATGTAGTGCGCCCGCTGCAATTCCTTCATATGTCCGGATCCTTCCGCGTTGAGTGAAAAAAAAAATGAGATCAAGTGTCAGATGAGATAAAAATTCACGAGAACAAGTATGAGGTGAGTGACAATTTATGAGAACAAGTGTCAGGTGAGTCAAAAATTGTTGGATTATGTGTCAGAACTCAGGTGAGTGCAAAATTGTGAGAGCAAGTGTAAGGTGAGTGAAAATTTGCGAGGATACCAAGTGTCAGGTGAGGAAATTTGTGGGAACCAGTGTGGGTAGATCTGCAGAGGTGTAGAGAATCAAGCAACATTTTCTCCACCATTGGACGAATGATTTTTCAATCTTCTCACATGCAATTCTATTGACTTTATGGTGTAAAAATGCACAGTTCGGCTGTTTCTGAACGTGTTTCAGTCTACATCAAAACCAAGCTTGGAGCCTGATATGTATATATACATATATATAAGAGTCAAAACATAAACAAATAGAGTTACCTGATGGAATCGTCTGAAGTCGTCCTTCGTGAATACTTGCGAAGGTAATTTGGATATCGTGTTTCCTTGTTCGACACCATCCGTTACGTCGACAGCCCGTGTCGCCCTGTACACTGCTTCACAGCAGGAATCGCCCCGCCCTCACTGTCAGGCCGTCCACCTGAGCCATGCGGAATGGCGCAGGTGATGTGGATCGCGACAGCAGCGGCGGGCTGCGGGTCATCGCGGGGTCGTACGAGCGCTTCCTCTTCGGCTTCCGCCTCCACCTCCCCACCCACCCGTACGCCGCGCCCCGCCTTCCGGCCAACCACGCAATCGCGTGCGCGGCTGGTTCACTATCTGCCCCCCGAGCTAACGGCCCCAACCCACCTGTGCCTATTCGTTTTCGCCCCACATGTGCGGCCTGAACCCGTTGTTTGCCCGCTCCACCCGCCTTCCCCAAAACCCTGCTAGTCCCTCCCCACGCGCGCTTGCGCTCTCGTTTCTCGTCCCCCCGTCAGGCTGGGCGCATCGCAACCAGCAGCACGCGGCGGGGAGGGAGGGGAGAGGGGAGAAGGCATGGGGGAGGAGAGGAAGCAGGAGGGGCGAGGCGAGGGGGGCGGGGAGGCGGCGTTGCGCCAGCAGTTCTGCTACGGGGGGCACACGGGGCCCATCAAGTGCGTGGCGGCGGCGGGCGGGGTGGCGGTGAGCGGGGGGGCGGACGACAGCGTGCGCGTGTATGACCTCTGCGCGCGCACCGACATGGGCGCGCTGCTGCACCACTCCGCCGCCGTTTCCTGCCTCGCTGTGAGTGCCGCCGTCTCGTGCCTCGCTGTGAGTGGTGCCGTCTCGTGCTTCGCTGTGAGTGTTAGCCCCAGCGCCCCTCCACTCGTGGCTGCCCTCTTGTTGCCTCCAAGCCTCCCCACTGTGTGCCGTCATGCGCCCCTGCCGCCACCCGTCTCACCGCCTGCAGTTGCACGGCAGCGGGAGTCGCCCCACTCACCTGCTCGCAGGCAGTGAAGACCGCACCATCAGCCTATGGGAGGTCGCCACGTGGCGGCATCTATCAAGCCTCAAAGGGCACAAGGCGCCTGTGAATGACATCGCAGGTGCGTGCTGGTAGTTGCTGGGGCTGCTGTGGGTTGCTGGGGGCTGGCTGCGGGTTTCTATAGGTTGCTGTGCATTGCTGTGGTCCGTTTTGGGTTGCTGTGGTTGTTGTGATGTGCGCTCCCTCTTGCTCCCCCTCCTCCCATTTCCTACTTCGCCTCTCCCTGTCTCCTCCCCTTCCCTCCTTTCCCCCCCGCATATGCACGGGGGCAGTGCACCCATCGGGGCGGGTGGCACTGTCAGTGGCGAGGGATGCGGAGCTGCGCCTGTGGAACCTGCTGCAGGCGCGCTGCTCCTTCCGCACGCGCCTGCCCGCCGAGCCCCTCGCCCTCACCTACTCGCCCGGGGACGCTGCCTGCTATGCGCTGGCCCTCAGGGGCGGTGCCGTGGCCGTGCACTGCTCTGCTGACGCCTCGCTCACTGCCACGCTGCCCCACCCCGCCTCCTGCCTCGCCCTCTCCTTCCTCACTGTCAGCCTGCTCGCCCGCCCTGGCTCTCCCTTGCTGCCTCTCCCTTGCTGCATCGCATTCCTTGCTGCTCATCCCTCCCTCCTTGTTCCCTGTAATGCCCTGCTCGTCTCATTATCTTTCTCTCATCTCCCGCTCTGCATGGGTGTTCTCATTTCCCATTTATTCACCCACCCAATGTCCTGTGCTTCACCTCATGTCCCGTGCATGACCATATGTCCTGTGCGGTGTGCCTGCCCTTATGCTCCCTGCAGCCACACGCAGTGGTGACGGGCGGTGAGGAGAGGGCAGTGAAGGTGTGGGATGTGCGCCAGCTGCCGCTGCACCCCGCCGTGAGTGTGGCTGCTGCTCACAGCGCTCGCATCCGCGGCGTGCTGGGGGCGCTGGCAGCTCGACGGGGGGGCGCAGGGGGGAGTGGGGGTGAGGGGAACGAGCTGGCTGCCGTAGCCAAGGCAGGCCTGACCGCTTGGCGCAGTGAGGGGGGAGGGGGTGAGGATGGGGAGGATGGGGAGGGCGAGGAGGAAGAGGGGGACAGAGGGAAAGGAGAGGAAGGAGGTGGCATGGACGGTGGTGGTGGTAAGCGTGGCAAGGAGGAAGGGGTGGCAGGGCGGAAAAGGAAGAAGAGGGAGAGCAGAGGGCGCAGCAGCAGTAATGGGGCAGCAGAGTGGAGTGAGTATGTGGTTGTGTCGGCAGCATCAGATGGGTGCATTCGCCTGTGGGACCTGCGCTCCCTCTCCTCCTCCACCCACGCACCTGCCACTGCACCCACCGCACCCACCGCACTCCCCCCTGGATGCCTCTCTCAAGTGCTCACCAACGCGCGCCTCACGTGCCTTGCGCTCTCCGACCTCTCACCCCACTCCACAGCACCGCCCCGTCCTGGCAAGAGGGCAGGTGGTGTGGAGGGCGGTGCAGAGGCGAGGAAGAGGAGCAAGCGTGGGAAGCCGTGAGCCAGAGAGAGGATGGGCGTCTGGAGGTGCTGTGTACAGCATTGCATTGCCATAGGATTGTAGAGCAGAGGCAGGTGTTAAGATGTATTTCTTTTGTCTTTCCATTATTCTAAGTTGGATTAATAATGACATGCAATTTAGCCTGCACAAGAGGGCCCGTAGGCAATCCAAAGAGGCCCGATCCAACAGCAGATATACAGGCGATGCAAATGGCAAGGTGCAGCTTCATAATCACGATCAGTGGAACGTTTGGCAAGGTGGTGGCGAAGACAGGGTGGATGGGTGCAGTGCTGTGCAGCCCTCACACAGAGCCGTTGCGTGGGTCTGGTTGGTCGGAATCTTCTGTCTTTACCTCGTTGAACACCAATGATAGCTGACGGGGATGGTGATGATGGTGATAGTGGATGCACACAGGGGTTGGGAGAGAAGGGGCGTTGAGTATACGGAGGGAGGTGAAGGTGAGTGAACTTGGAACAGAGGAGGCTGTGGGGCAACCTGCCCACGCTGACAATGCACCACCATCCCTACCACCACAGCCAACCCACAAACCACACCACACCTCCCTACACCACACCCTTTCTCCCTCCCCACCCCTCCCCTCCCCCCATACCCCTCTCCACGGTAGAGAACCTGGGAGCCGTCGCGGGTGATGGTGGCCTTGCCGTCCCTGGCATGCCCCGGCGACAGCATGTGGTGTGAGCGGCGCCTTGCCTCGAGGTACTTCTCCACCGCGTACCACCCGATGCCCACGCTGTTCACCACCAGCCCCACCACGTTCGTCAAGCTCATCTGCGGGCGGGATGGGGGGGAACGTTGGTGGGGTTGGTTGGAGGGGGGTGGGAATATGGGGGAGAGAAGCACAGTGTGTAGAGGGCGGAGGGCAGTGGTGGGTGGAAGGGACGCAAGCAAGTGGGCCATGAGATGAGATAAGGTATGTGCATGCAGGGGAGTGGGAAGTGGGGTGGGGGTGGCACAGAGCAGGAAGGCAGTGGCATGGGGCGGGGGGCAGGGCACTCACGAGCACATCCCCGAAGGCAAAGAGGCCGCCCAGGCCCTGCAGGATGGACTTGGTGCGCCCTGCACGGGGTGAGGGCGGTGGGGTGAGACACATGGGGTGGGGAGAGACACATGGGGTGGGGTGAGACACATGGGGTGGGGAGAGACACATGGGGTGGGGAGAGACACATGGGGTGGGGAGAGACACATGGGGTGGGGAGAGACACATGGGGTGGGGAGAGACACATGGGGTGGGGAGAGACACATGGGGTGGGGAGAGACACATGGGGTGGGGAGAGACACATGGGGTGGGGTGAGACACATGGGGTGGGGAGAGACACATGGGGTGGGGAGAGACACATGGGGTGGGGAGAGACACATGGGGTGGGGAGAGACACATGGGGTGGGGAGAGACACATGGGGTGGGGTGAGACACATGGGGTGGGGAGAGACACATGGGGTGGGGAGAGACACATGGGGTGGGGAGAGACACATGGGGTGGGGTGAGACACATGGGGTGGGGAGAGACACATGGGGTGGGGAGAGACACATGGGGTGGGGAGAGACACATGGGGTGGGGAGAGACACATGGGGTGGGGAGAGACACATGGGGTGGGGAGAGACGCATGGGGTGGGGAGAGACGCATGGGGTGGGGAGAGACACATGGGGTGGGGAGAGACACATGGGGTGGGGAGAGACACATGGGGTGGGGAGAGACACATGGGGTGGGGAGAGACACATGGGGTGGGGTGAGACACATGGGGTGGGGAGAGACACATGGGGTGGGGAGAGACACATGGGGTGGGGTGAGACACATGGGGTGGGGAGAGACACATGGGGTGGGGAGAGACACATGGGGTGGGGAGAGACACATGGGGTGGGGAGAGACACATGGGGTGGGGAGAGACACATGGGGTGGGGAGAGACGCATGGGGTGGGGAGAGACGCATGGGGTGGGGAGAGACACATGGGGTGGGGAGAGACACATGGGGTGGGGAGAGACACATGGGGTGGGGAGAGACACATGGGGTGGGGAGAGACACATGGGGTGGGGAGAGACACATGGGGTGGGGTGAGACACATGGGGTGGGGAGAGACACATGGGGTGGGGAGAGACACATGGGGTGGGGAGAGACACATGGGGTGGGGAGAGACACATGGGGTGGGGAGAGACACATGGGGTGGGGAGAGACACATGGGGTGGGGTGAGACACATGGGGTGGGGAGAGACACATGGGGTGGGGAGAGACACATGGGGTGGGGAGAGACACATGGGGTGGGGAGAGACACATGGGGTGGGAAGAGACACATGGGGTGGGGAGAGACACATGGGGTGGGGAGAGACACATGGGGTGGGGAGAGACACATGGGGTGGGGTGAGACACATGGGGTGGGGAGAGACACATGGGGTGGGGAGAGACACATGGGGTGGGGAGAGACGCCGCACAGCAAGACGTGCGCATGGCTCGTGCTGGCAGGAGCAAATGTGGCAAGTATCCGGAACAGGCACGCAGAGCAGAGGGCCAGGTGATGGGGTGGGGCACTGACCGACGATGCTGGTGGTGAGGCTGTCGTTGACGAGCGTGCAGAGGTACGTGGCAAGGTTGAGCACAAAGGCCGACGCGCACGACAGCACGAAGCACGTCAGGAACATGGCGTCGCGCGACTGCAGCACGCGCTGCACGGCGGGCAGCTCGCCGTTGAGGGCGAGCAGCAGGAAGGAGAAGGGCAGCGACCAGCAGTTGTTGTACAGCAGCAGCGTGAACGAGTCCAGCTGCAGCTCCTCGCCCAGCTTGCCCACTATCACCACGTACGCTGCTGTCGCCAGCGCGGACGACAGCGCGAGCACGTACCCCGGCAGGTCGAAGGTCAGGTCGCCTGCGCCTGCTATGACGCCTCCTAGGGCGGTCATGTAGACGGAGAGCTGCACGCGCAGGGAGGCGCGCTTGGCGCGGAGGAGGAAGTCGAGCAGCAGCACGAAGGGCGTGGTGGCGGACTTGAGCACGCCGTACATGGGGATGTTCACGCGGGATAGCGCTGCCATGTCCAAGAGGAGCTTCAACAGGAAGGCGAATGATAGCAGCGCCACCTGCAGGGATGAGGGAGGTAGTGAAAGGTGTGAGGGGTGAGGTGGGGTGAGGTGAGGGATGGGACGTGGGATGGTGGCATGGTGACATGGCAGGGCAGCCTCACGACCACACTCAAATCCCATCCACTCCCCTGTTTCCCCCACTCTCATATCCTCAACTCCCTCTTTCCCTCAACTCCCCTATCCATCCATTCCCCCTTCCCTTTACCTCCCCTTCTCCCTGCTCCCCCTTCGCACAGATCCCCCTTCCCTCAATTCACCGCCCAAATCTCCCTCTGCTGCCCACAACCCCAAGCACCCGGCCCATGCCTGTGAGCCGCCAGAGGCAAGGGGCGGGGCGTACCCGGCGCAGGACGGAGAGGCGGAAGGGGGCGAGGCGGATGGCGCGGGAGAGGCGCATGGCGGCGAGCAGCAGCAGCGTGAAGAGCGTCTGGAAGAAGACGAGCGTGTAGGGGAACGTGAAGCGGTACACGCGGAATATCGCCTTGTTCACAAACACCGCCGCCACCGACATGCCGCCTGCCAGGGGGAGGGGGGGGGGGGGCGGGAGGGGGAATTGCGGAGATAGAGAGCGGTGAGTGAGGGGTGTGAGACGGGTGAGTGAGGGGAGTGGCAGGGGTGAACGAAGGGAGAGAGGGGCAAGGGGTGGGCGTGCACACGGAGGGTAAGGCACCATCGTTGCAGGGCATGACAGAGCGGAGCGGAGTCACTTTGCGACTGCTGTTGGCCCGCTCTACGCGGCTTGACGCCCTACACGACTGCGCGCACCATAGAAGGCGGCGACGAGGAGCCCCTTGCAGTTCATTGCGCCCGCGTCACGCCACCAGCACCAACGGATTCAACCGATCGCCCTCGAACCGCTGCCTCCCGCCCCGCTCCTCTGCCTCCTCCTCCCCCTTCCACCGCCTTTGCCGCCGCAATTCCTCCCTCCCTTTTTCTCTCTCCCCTTCTCTCCCTCCCTCTACCTTAAATTTTACTTCTCTTCCCTTCCAGTTCTCCCTACCCCTCTCCTCCAACCCTCCACCGCCCAGTAACGATCTTCACCAAAACAATGACTCCTTCACACGATCCCCACTCTTTCGCGGCCTAACCTGCCCCCCGGCGCGCTCTGCTCGCGGAACGGCGCGCTCTGCTCGGGAATTACGGTGTCTGACTGTTCCCCGCGTTATGCGCCAACACGGCGCGGGCACGCCGGTCGAGGCATTGTGAGCGGCGTGCGCGACGGCGGGAGGATATGAGAGGAAGACGATGTGCTTTCGCCAGTGGCCGCGTGCGCGCGCGTCAGGCGAAGCCGAGAGTGAGTGAATGGTGAGCGGTGAGCGGGTAGTGCGGCACTAAATTCCGGATCTGGTAACACAGAAGGAGGTCGTACTCTCGAGCGAGCAAGCTTGCCTAGGGGCCTATTGTGCCAATTCAAGTGACTCGCCGTGACTAGCGAAGCGAGTGTTGATCACAGCCACTGCCACCAGCCACTCGCGCAAGATGCACACCCACTGCACCTTCCATTGGTGTGAAACGCATGTTGGTTGGTGGGTGGAGAGACATAACGGTGATTACTCAAGTGACTACATTTCAAATTATAATATAATCAAAACATCTAGCGCTTTTCTAATTCTACTGCACACCAACCATCTGGGCCCCACATAGAATTGCCCAAGGCTCAATGCCCTAAGCTAATTGCCGAAACCGTACCGCCTGAGTGTCAGCTTGTGGAGACGTGCTGGCTGAACAGTATTGCAGATTCCACTCGTGCCACCAATGAGCATCCCTGAGCGGCATGCAAGGGCTGTCAGCATACCCATCTGCCCAAGGGCTTATTGTTTCAGAGAGTATTGGGGGTGTGTGTGCCGGCTGCTGAAGGCAGGCACAGGCGTGTGGGTGGCATCAGAGAGCGTCCCCATAGCGCATGCGAGG